TTATATCAAAACGACCAGCTCAATGTCGAGAAGGGAGCCATTACTGGTACTTTTATTGGCAATCGGAGTTACCATGGCAACGCGTTTTTCTAACAAAGATGCCATATTTCCCCATAGGAAATGAATGGGAGAACACTCACACCAACTGCTACTGTCACAGAGAGTGGTGGAGCAGAGGTTAGAGAAGGTGGGCCTGTGAGTGGAAAGTCGCAGGTTCAACTCCCAGTACCGTCAACATCAAAATGTGTATGGAAAAGGTGAAACACCCACACCTGCCTCCGCCCTCATTTGCCCCGCTCTGGGCCCCTGAGCAAGGCCCTTAACCCCCACTATTTACTCTCCAAAACAGATCTTTCTTGAAAATAAGTTTCTGTGACTCAATGAGACCACTACATGGATAAATAAAGGGTAAATGAAGAAAAAAAAAAGTCCCATGACTTAGAGTGTAGATGTCCCTGAAGAAAACAGAAAGTCACTGTTGGATTTGTTTGGAACTCACAGAAAGTAATCATCAGATAAATGTCTAGAACTGAGTAACGTTTGGAGTAATTTGGATTCAAGATGGCTGCCAGAGCTACCTCAGCAAACACAAAACTGAATATAACTTGGTCATTCTTTGAGATATTGAGATGAAATTAAGTATGGATGTAGCTGAGAGCGAGTTGTAATACATTCCAGTGTTTTCTCTACCATTATACAAGTGGGGCGCCCCGTCTATGGAACCACGCACACCCCGCCCCCCCCTCCAGAGGACAAAAATCACAGACAAGATGAGCACCCTGCCATGGCAAGTTATCTAGGGGAAACACTGCATTCCTAATGAAAATCAAATATCCAAGATGGTCGCCTTAGCTAAAAGAGCAAAAATATGATAAGTCAGCCATTTTTAGAGATATTGAGCTGAAATTTGGCGTATTGGTAGCTAAGTGCGAACCCCAACACAAAGTACTGTCAAATCAATTTTTTAAATTGGCCAGGCAGTCCTCGTCAAAGTTTCTCCAGGAACTTTCTAGTTTCAGCTTGTTATACTCCTTTCAGCTGATTTATGCAAATTTCAACCTTTTCTGATACTTCAGCTACTATTTAGCTGTTTTATACAAATTTTAGTTTTTTTGTGCTCATTTCTGCTTCTTTCAGCCTAACTGGGCAAACATGTTATTTTTGTTTTCTTCTGTTAATTTAAGCTTGTTGTACATTCTAAGTTATAGCTTTTGAAAACTTGAATTCATCTTTTTCTGTATGTAAATTGCTTTTTTCAGATGATTATTTCCTCTGGTATCGGATGCTGTGCAGCTGGAAGGATTTTTACTGAAACCTTTTTACTTTTGGTGCATTTGTTATGATGTGTAACCATGGCAACAAGGTGTTTTTTTTAACCACCAGGAGCAGCTAATTAACATCTCAAAAGCTCAAATATCTCAACTACAGCGCCAACTCCCACATGAGTTGAAAAGGAGGCACTGTGGACAAATTCCCGTCAACCTGGCGGCAGTGCTCGAGTACCTGATAGCCGAGATTCTGAAAATGGTGGGAAACTTTGCTTGTAAATGGTAAATGGACTGCACTTATATAGCGCCTTTCTATCTTATTTCAAGATACTCAAAGCGCTTCACACTACAATCTGTGTCCTCATTTACCCATTTATACAGCACTTTACTAGATCGCTACAAATCTGAACAAATCATTATAAAGAGACTAATCAGTGCTTTAGATCACATTCATACACTGATGGGACACACATCAGAGGCTATGATGGGTTCAGTGTCTTGCTCAGGGACACTTCAGCATGTGACTACTGGTGGATTCGAACCCCCAACTCTTGCATTGGAGGATGACTGCTCTAACCACTCAACCACAGCAGCCCTTGTGACAACGGGAGGACCAGGATCATCCCCCGACACCTTCACCTGTCTGTCCGTAGTGACGAGTCGCTCGGCAGACTGCTGGGAGGAGTGACCATCACTCAGGGAGGAATTCTGCCTGAAATTAGGGCAGTCCTGCTGCCCAGGAGGACCGAGAGGCCCGCCGGATCTGACAGTAAGCTGGATCTGGGTGGATGGATCGGTATCTGTGGCCAGATTCTTCAGATTCGCCGCAGCAAATCCTTCCTGCCCACAGCTATCAGCATCTAACAACTCTTGAATGAAACAAGGATGATGAGCTATGACAAAATTTAATTTCCCTCTGGGATTAATAAAAGATTTTTGAGTTGAATTGAATTTTCAGCTACCTTTTTAGCTTTAAAAAAATATAACTAATTTCAGCTGTTTTCAGATTAATTCAAGTTTTTCATGGTAATTTTTGCTACGTTCAACGTACCAGTAATGAACTTATTTATGCTAATTTCAGCTTGTTATGCTCCTTTCAGCTTCTTCTGCTATTTCAGTTACTATTCAGCTGTTTTTACAGTAATTTTAGCCTTTTCAGCTAATTACATGGTTTTTGAGCTCATTTCAGCTCTTTCCACTTCCATCTGGTAGCGTAAACGTCTTTCTGCCTTTTCAGCTGTTTTTTTTTTTCTTCTTTTGTGTTAATTTCGGCCCTTTTTTTTTAGCTAATTTCCTAATTTTTGTGTTTATTTCAGCTGATTTAAACCCAAAGAGCAAAAAAATGTATTCATTCTGCTTTCTTCTGTTAATTAAAGCTTGTTCTTTCATTTCAGCTATAATTCAGCATGTTTTTTTTAAGCTAATTTCAGTTGTTTTTCCATCAAGTTCTTCAGCAATAAGCATTCACACTGCATTTTTGCAGGAAATGCAATTTCTCTAGTTCCTAATAAGCATGTTTTAAAATAAGCATTTGTACAATACTAGATACATGTATGTGTAATATACATTTTCCACAACGAAAGGCATTTTGATTCAAGTGGAGATGTACGTTATGAGGGAGTGGTGGCGCAGAGGTTAGAAGATGGGCCGGTGATCGGAAAGTCGCAGGGTCAACTCCCGGTACCGCCAACATCAAAATATGGGTGGAAAAGGTGGAACGCCCACACCTCCCTCCACCCTCATTGGCCCCACTCTGGGCCCCCGAGCAAGGCCCTTAACCCCCACCATCTGCTCCTTAAACAAGTCTCTCTTGAAAATGAGGTCTCGTGGCTCAGTGAGACTACCTGTATAAATAAAGGGTAAAAAAATAAAAAGAAGTCTTCTCCTGTGTTTCTGCTGCCGACATCAGAGGGAGCTCTTGCTGCTGGTTGAAGATGAAACCAAATCTGATCCAGGTCTATGTGTGACCTGTGTGACGCCCAGCAGCTCCTCTTCTCTGAGTCCCAGGAAGCTGTGATCCTCTGCTCTTTTTGAGCAGTGACAGACACACACACACACGCTGCATGTGCACACGTGTGATTAATGCACATGCACGACAAGCCCCCCGAGCGCAGAGCAGAGACCGGCACAGCGTGTGTGTGTGATGTGTGGGTGCAACACTGATCTTTTGAATCTAGGCTGCTGCACTGCAGCAAAAGCAAAAAAAGAAGAACAAGCCCTTCAAATCTGTGAAGGCATGAAGTTAAAAGACGAGCGCTGATTACCCACCATGCTCTGCCTCTCCTGCCTTGCCTCCTTCTCTCAAGGCAGCACATGGATGTGTGTAAGTGCCATCCTCCCAGCTCAGCTTACCATTTGACCAAGATTTACATTCTTCCTGTTTTGGAAGGTGCATGCTAAATGATGCAGAGCTGGAGTGGACCAGAGCGTGAAATTGCTTTATTTAACATCAAGTGTGTGTGTTCAAGCAAAATATGCAGAGCACAACTCGTGCTGTTATTTATAAATTAAACATGTACATGATACAGTAGATCTCATCCTCTCTACGCTTGGTAGATCAGAGACAGTACTGTTGCTGTCCCAGTGTCTCTTAAAATGGACTTGATATGCAAGCTGTTCACAATATTGGGTTTTTGTTGAGGCTGAAAGAGAAACAAGTCAAACACACAACTGGTGATCAAAATCTGTGAGGGGATTAGAGGGATTTCAGACGTGCATGAATAAAACCACCACACTATCTCTAGGCTATAAACCCATTTGTTGTCTGAGCATAACCCTGACGGATTAATACTGAAGGACTATCACTCCTTGAAAGAAATGCTAATCGAGTTTAACTGAGATCATTTCATGTTGAAATGACAGAGTTGTAAGGTATCTGTAATTTCTGTAAAACGGACTGAGTTGCAGCCACTTTTGTGTAGAGTAGTGTTGCTCAGCTGTGACAGCCATTTTGAACTGAGTAATCAGTCGTATGTGTACATTCAATAATTATTTTTTGGAAGTTTGATTACAATCCCTCCACTGGTTTATGAAATAATTTTATAACAGACTAACAGAGTTGACTTCTACAGTTAATAGAAAATTTATTACACAACCATTATCACTTGGGAGTGTATTCCCAGAGAGGCCCAGTTACCACCACAACAAAATGTAGCAAAATTCCTCTAAAACTGACACAATTCAAGCCGGTTTTGTATTTTCTCAAGTTGATCAGCTGTGTGCTCTACTTGAACTGGGTTTGATCCAAAAGTTAATTAGTAGTACATCCAGAGATTATTTCAGGACCATTTCATGAAAACTTGTGCAGTGGTTCACAAGATATTTTGCTAAAACACAAGATTGGCATCACATTGTTAATGGCAAATTTTTAAACTAAGATTTTAGTCAATCTGTACGGGCTGTGAATATGTGCTGGACATCAGTCTCAGCTACTACCACAGCAAATTTAAGGTGTATACTGTATCTGTAAAACTGGTTAGGTCAACTGGTCAGGTGGCTTTGGAGGACATTTTGAATCAAGATGACTTCAAATGTTAATCATCTGTAGACGTCCATCCAGTGATTACTTTCTGCAAGTTTCATTAGTCTGTCCAGTGCTTCATGAGATATTTTGCTAGTGAAGTACTCAAAGACACAAACACATTATTGCCCACCTTCCTGCAGAACAGCTTTCATTTGAATTTAACCCCCCACCCCCAGCAGGTTTCTGACCCCTCCTCCCTGCTGACTCACCTCCTCTCAGCACGAGCACGTTGACCTCGCTGCCCACCGGCAGGTCTTTGAGGATGTCCACCACCTGGGAGTGGCTAAGCGTTTGGACGTTCTGCCTGTTGATTTCCTTGATGACATCACCCTTTAACAAGCCGCGGCACCACTGGGCGTCCAGGATCATCTTCACCTTCTGTCCCAGAGGACAGTCTGCGATGGCAAAGCCAAACCCCCCTGGGCCTTTCATCAAGGGTACACTCACCAGCTCCGGCTGCAACAGAGTAGTGTCTGGTCCCTCCTGGTTCTGGGCAGGAGGTGCATGTTGTTGCTGCTGGGGATGAGCATGGTGGCGCCCTCCGTTGCTCATAGGTTGCATTGAGGAAGCCTGCCGTGACAGGGCTCCCCCGTCTGGAATTGTGATGTGTGGGTCCTGGGGTGTGGAGGTGGATGGGGACAGGGAGGCCTCCTTTAAGGTGATGAGGCTTCCTGATGCTTCCTCACTGCTGTTGGAGTCCTCAGGCAGAGGGTAGCCTCGACACAGGACTAAATCCACATACTGGTTGACTGGGATAGACTGGAACATCTGGACCACATCAGCGTGAGTCTTCCCCAGCACACATGTCCCATTGATGTCCACAATGATGTCACCTAAAAGAAGAATAAAGGGAGGAAAAAATAGCTTGATTTCATAAACAGCATCTGTTTCTGTTCTCCAGTTCTTATTATATTAGTATTACGAAACACAAGGGTGTAAAACAGAACAAGATGGGCAGAATACTGAGTCTTCTCACCCCCACCCCTTTTCTCCCTGAAAGTGATAGACTTCAGCATCCTTGACCTGGCTCAGATACAGGTCTGGATAACCAGCTGAACTGCTGACTGGATAGCTGGCTCAGAACCCAGTAAAGGATCCAGTCCACCTACACAATCAATACTCTGCTCCAGCAAACACACTGAAGGTTTCACTCTGATAATGAGCTTCATATACCAGCGTGGAGGCTCAGACTTATTGCATGTATTCTTCCCTCCCGTCTTTGCAAGTAATGTTCAAAAAGGTAAGTGAAATAAACGCACACAGAGAGCTAAGATAGTCTGCTCTGTGGCATGAAGATATATGACAGGTCCAAAGTGGGAAAAGTCAGAAAAAGTCGTTCCACTCCACAGCTTGCTGTTAACAACCCCCCCCCCCCCCCAAAAAAAAAAAATTAATTACATTTATCTTCTGGTACAGTCAATTACCCTTCCTCTCGAGGGAAATGAGACAATGAAAATAATTACCCTCTTCGTTTTATCATCACGTTAATTCTCAGCAGCAGACCTCGCGTGGCAATCAATATTAGTGTTATGTGATTCCTGAGGCTGTTTGCACCAGTTGTTCAAAGTCCTACAATCCCTGAACATGTGCTCACTGAATCTGTACATACAGACAAAAATGGACTTCTTAGAAAATATATTCAAAAAGCTGCACGGAGCATACTCCATCCTGCCCTAAAAACTAGTTTGGTCATTTTTGTATTTATGATCTGTTCAATAGATATCAATATTTAGTATCCTGTCAGATGTGACTGATGTCCCATCACTGCGGAAATTGAATAGTTAATGTTTGTATTTTCCGATTGAGTGTTTTTCTGTACTTGATTTTTAAGTGGCAACCCAATTTTCTTCTTAAATGCAGCAAAACACCAAAACCCAATTTTTAAAAGGAACTTTTCTTACGCCTAGATGTCGCCACACACCAAAATGGAAGTCGGCACATTGCTCTTTTCAAATGACTATTCTCTCAACATGCATGGTCAGATGGACGCAGGGTATTCCTCCTCTTAGTTCTGCGACGAGGTACAAAAATACTACATTAGTTAATATTAAACTTTTACACTTTAGCATCACAGTGTGTTGCCATTTTCTCTATCAACCACTACTGATGTTATCTAAAAAAGTTAAGTCTGGTCCTCTGGATATTCAAAAAACAAAACAAAGCAAAAAAAAAAAATATGTAGAAAGATTTCTTCAGTCCGAGGAGCTGTATTCAGACTGAGCTGAATACAGCTCCTCAGACTGAATCAACGAGATTAAGTTTTGTCTGATCAAAAATCAAGACCTAATCTCTCTCCTGGACTTTTCTTTCTGGTATTTCCTTCTTGTAAGCTGGCTGGAGGACACATTTATAATATGTGTCTGAGAGGAAAGCTACCTGGGGCAATCCTTTTGTCGTGTGCAGCAGGACCATCAGGAAGGACGTTTTTGACCTGAAGGAACTCGTCTGGGCGGTCTCCTCCGATGATGGTGAACCCAAATCCCTGCGGGCTTTTTCGAAGTGCAGTCTGCAGGATGGATCCCTGCAGCTGAGAGGGATCTCGTGTGAAACCTCGTGCTCCCCGAGCAGGCTCGTCTTCTGCAGAGGAAAAGGAAGAGAGGTATAAAATGAAGAATGCAAAACTGCAGCTACTGTAGGTCTACTGTAGAGCATCTACGGCAAATGTTATAGCTAGAAAATTTTCCATCCATCCATCATCTTTAAGTGCTTCTTCCTTTTCGGGTCGTGGGGGGTCACTGGTGCCCGTATCCAGCAGTCACTGCGTGAGAGATGGGAGACACCCTAGACAGGTCTCCAGTCCATCACAGGGACATAGAGACAAACAAGACAAACAACTGTTCACTCTCTCTCTCACACCTAGGGACATTTTATAGTTACCAATCAGTCTAACATGCATGTTTTTGGTTTGTGGGAGGAAACTAGAGTACCTGGAGAAAACCCACACATGCACAGTGAAAACATGCAAACAAACAGAAGGTCCCTGACTGGGATTCGATCCGATGACCTTCTTGCTGAGAGACAACAGCTCTCCCAACTGTCCCACCCATTTTCTGTCATACAGTATGACATTTGTTTTATTATTTGGCCATTAATGATAACGATGATTTTGCACTTTCACAAGTTAAAAGTTTTTGTATTTTTTAGTAAAGATTTATGCAGGTGTACAGCTTGGGGCCACCCCATTGTCCTCTTTATGAACGGCTATACAGACAGGCTAAAATAGGACATGCTCACACAATGAGCAATGAAGAGTCCCTGTATGCTGGATTTAAACAACTTCTTCTTAACAGATGGGATGTTTTCTATAAACCTTGGACTTAAAGAACTCAGTGTCAATATTTTATCTTAAAAGAAGTTGCATTGTTCTTTGGGATTCTGATCTAGAAAACATTTTTGTACAAAGTTGATAAGCAGCTTCCTTCTTGTGTAATACAGTCTGAGCATGTCTCGATACAGCAGGGGGCTGTGATGAGTGACAGCTGCTTTCCAAGGTTCCCCTGAGTCCATCGATGCTTTGGAACCACAGGGACCAGTGTTTACAGTGCTTTGAGGTAGACATTTGTTGCTTTTACACAGTCTGCACTGTGGATGTTAGTAGTCCTCATAGTCACTTTGAACTCCTGGCTCAGAGGACACAGGAGCTCTCTTAGCTCAGTCAGGAGTCTTGAATGATGTCCATTTTTAGTCAAGCAAATTGTACACTTATTCAACACCTGCACTATTAAAACTGTCTTTGCATTGCTAAAACTGAAGCTACATAACTCTCACAGTTGTCTACCTTCTTGAGCATATTCAGCTGGAAGTAACCTGATTTGTTAACAAAGTTCATGCTCAATCATCCAGGTACCAAATCCAATAATTCTCAGTCAAGTCATCTGGACAGTTTCTTTTTTATAGAAATGTTTCACCCTCTATTCAGAGGGCTTCATCAGTCTGAGGAGTTCCAGTAAACTGTTTCCCCATCAAGCAGTACACTCCTTAAGTGGACCAACCAGTTTGCTGGAGCTAAGATGGTTTCTGGGGGCGTCCTGTCCCTCGTCTTCTCCTCCCAGGCAGGCAGCAACAGCCAAAGTGGTCGGTCCACTTAAGGAGTCTACTGCTTGGTGGGGAAACAGTTTACTGGAACTCCTCAGACTGATGAAGCCCTCTGGATAGGGGGTGAAACATTTCTATAAAAAAGAAACTGCCTAGATGACCCGACTGAGAATTATTGGAACCTAATCTGTTGTACTAGACTTGACTTCAATAACTCCTTCTTCTGAATGTTTGTAGAGCTCTTTAAACTCAGCTTTAATAAATTAAACCAAAAACCCTGAGCTGCAACTCTGAAGTCATCCAGTATTGTTGTTGTTGGTCAATGCTACGTACACAAAATGACATGTTGGACTGACAGTTGGCCACGTGTTAAACAATTACTGCTGTCTCCTGATGATATAAACACAATAACAGGTCTATAAATCTCCAAGTGTCTTCTGTGACTATGAACATCTTTGTGGCATGAAAAGTCACAACATCCAATAAAGTTACGTCAGGTCCTCTGGATGTTTTTTTTTTTTAAGAAAAGTTTCGTCCTTCATCCAAAGGACGTTGCTTTCAACAAGAAAGAAGAAACAGTCCAGAGGACTTGACTGAACGTTGTTGGATTTTTTTACCTGGATTATTGAGCATGGACTTTGATGTCAGAAACAACAGTTTTTATCCTCGACTTTTATACACCAACACTTCCTCAGACTCCCTAAATCTGTTCATAATATTGTTTCCTATGCATACAGAAGGACCAAAGTTCTCTGCATTATTGCATTAGAAAATATCGTTTTGGTTTGTATTGGCTTTTCTTCTCAAAATGTATTATTGCTTACCACAAAAGATTGTACATACACACTGAGCCAACCCAAGTGAAGATGGCTGCCACAGCCAACTGACCTCAGGAAACACAAAAATGACTAAAGCTCAAACAGCTAATATCTGATGTGGTAGCAGCTGAGAGCCATTACTCTGTGTTGGATTTTGCAATATTGTATGATAAAGTCAGAGCACAATACACATTCTTCGGTTGTTTAATTGTTTCATTTTCAGTCTTCTAAATGTCTGAAGTCATTCAAAACACTACAATACTTTCTTTGTGTATAATCAGTAAAGATTAAAACAGCTGTAACAAAGTGAGGAGCATCTTTTTAAAGGCTGCAGATGAAGAAGAAGCCACAGTTGACAAGCTTCCCTTTAATCTGCCATGTGTCTCCTTCAGAACAACACTGAAGCCGTGACAACAGGCCTGATGGAGCGTCACTCTCACATGAACATCTCTGGCCCATCAGCAGACGACCAGCGCCTCTAACTGCATTTATCCTGATTTTATTTTCCAGGTAAACTTTTCGTAACAAATTTCCTCTGTAGTGTCAGGAGGATGTGCAAATGAGGTCTCCCCACAGAAGACAGGAAATTAATTATATTAGAGTGTCTGTGTGTTAGAAAAGAGAGGGAGACTGACGGGACAGGAATGAACAGAGAAAGATGGAGCTGGTTTTGACAGAAAGAGGTGAATTCTAACTAAATCTGAGCTTGTCCTTCTCCTGTGGGATCCTGAGTTATTGGCTCTGTCCCGTGTGCTGGGATTCTTCTCTGGCAGTTCCCACACTGATAGACGGCGGGACATCAATCTCATTAGGGAAACAGCAGCCCCCCCTCTCCCTCTCTGCATCTCACTCCCAGTGTGTCATGGGATTTTTGATTTGCATAACTGCATAGGGATTGGTAGAAAAACATGCTTTAAAGACAAAAAAGTTAAAGCTCAAGTATGATTAACACAAGGCTGCTGCTGCTGGGCTTCACGTGCATGAGTTGCTGTGGTGAATGTTAAAAATGGCATGCTGCTTCAGGTATGACAGAGTGCCTCCACACAGCTCTGTCATGTTCACACAAAGTCAGAAAATCTGTCAGTAATGGTTTTTGCATTCGCATAGTTAAAGGGACAGAAGTGTCATTTGTGAAGTGATAAATAATTAGTAAGTTAAAACCTCATAATATGTACCTCAATAAATAAGTCCTAGATTAGTTAGCCATTAGTTTAGCCTTCACGAAGGCTTTTCTCTGTATTCTTTGCTCTGTGATGCCACGGCTGACGAGGTTCTAATTGTTGATAACAGTGTGAGAGAACAACACTTCAGAAAAGACTGAACTATCCCTTTAATGACCTCACTGACAGAAAAGAGGACAGAGTGGAGGGTGGGAAAGGTGGGAGGCCACACACCAAAGCCATGTTTACATGCTCCTGATTAAACTGGAGGCTCACAAAGGGGCCGTGTCTTCTCAAAGGGGCGGAGCAGTGGTTATGTGGAACGTCTGTAATTATAGTCGGGCACCGTGGTGCGCTTTGCTCCATCGTCTCGTAGGTCTTGTCAGAAACGATGCATGGAAACCACCTCGCGCACGTCCGCACGCATGACCACCAGTCATTAATTCTCATTAACGAGGGTGGGAAGGTGCAGGGAGGGCGGCAGTGGGAGCTGGAGGCAGAGGTACACACAGGTAATATCATCTGCAGGCTGCAGAGAGGCTGAGCTCTGGGAGGAGCAACAGACTGAGGCAGACACATCTGTCTATGGGTGTCTGAAATACAGCAGCTAGTTTGAATACTAATGTGCTGATGCTTTGTGCATGCACACTTTGAGGATCATAATAATTTTGACTCGTTGTTACAACTTCCATTTATCAGGCCTTTGCATTTACCAAGTGATAATATCAGCTGCGATCACCACACGTGGTAAATGATGAGCAGATGACTCAGTGGAAAGGCAATTTATGACCATAAATCACATTCAACTTTATCTACCCCTCCATCCTTCCATTTCTCCTCTTTTGCACAGTCCTCGCCTTTAACAAGATGTTTATGGATGCTGTGAACAACAGGGGCAAAAATATTTTTCAAAGAGACCTCAGAGCCTTTCCTGTTTTCATATCCACTCATCAAAATGAATTTTGCCGACCAGCGAGGCTCCGTCTCATTATTCAAATTGAATATCATAGCTTCGGAGGCGACAAGCAGTTTATCAGCAGACGTCAACTGTTAGAACATCTTCCAGACAGACATTTTAGCACAAAGCACATGATAGAAGAGCGCCCAGTGTTTAGATAACACATATACTGCGTCGTTAACGCTTTTCTCTCTTTTATTTCTTCACTGAACATAAAGCTGGAACTATTTTGCTGCATCCATCTTTATCATGCTGCAGTTCATTAGGAAGCCCAGGCTAAGAATTACAGGCTTTAAGTAAAACCAGTCAGGCTGTTGACGCTAATCCTGATCACTGCACCAATCAGCTGGGACATTTTGAACACTGACAGGTGAAGTGAAAACCACTGATTATAATTATAGTTGGGCGAGGAGGACAAAAAAGAAACTTGTAAAGATTTAAACTACTTTGCCGAGGGTTAAACTATGATGGATGGACAGATGTGTCACAACACAGCAGCTCCAGTGGTTCAATAAGTGCTCTCTGTCATGTTCAGCCGTCAGGTGCATTTGAACCCACGTGCAGGAGGATGACAGGAGGCTTGATGAAAAGATCAAAAGTATTTGT